TATACACTGAGGTAGGAAAGTAGAACATCATAGAACACTGAGGTACTAGGGTAGGTAAGGTTGTGGTATATACTGAGGTAGGAAAGTAGAACATCATAGAACAGAGGTACTAGGGTAGGTAAGGTTGGGTATATACGGAGGCAGGAAAGTAGAACATCATAGAACAGAGGTACTATGGTAGGTAAGGTTGGGTATATACTGAGGCAGGAAAGTAGAACATCATAGAACAGAGGTACTATGGTAGGTAAGGTTGGGTATATACTGAGGTAGGAAAGTAGAACATCATAGAACAGAGGTACTATGGTAGGTAAGGTTGGGTATATACTGAGGTAGGAAAGTAGAACATCATAGAACACTGAGGTACTAGGGTAGGTAAGGTTGTGGTATATACTGAGGCAGGAAAGTAGAACATCATAGAACATAGGTACTAGGGTAGGTAAGGTTGGGTATATACTGAGGTAGGAAAGTAGAACATCATAGAACACTGAGGAACTAGGGTAGCTAAGGTTGTGGTATACACTGAGGTAGGAAAGTAGAACATCATAGAACAGAGGTACTAGGGTAGGTAAGGTTGGGTATATACTGAGGCAGGAAAGTAGAACATCATAGAACAGAGGTACTATGGTAGGTAAAGTTGGGTATATACTGAGGAAGGAAAGTAGAACATCATAGAACAGAGGTATTAGGGTAGGTAAGGTTGTGGTATACACTGAGGTAGGAAAGTAGAACATCATAGAACACTGAGGTACTAGGGTAGGTAAGGTTGTGGTATATACTGAGGTAGGAAAGTAGAACATCATAGAACACTGAGGTAGTAGAACATCATAGAACAGAGGTACTAAGTAAGGTTGGGTATAACATCATAGAACAGAGGTACTAGGGTAGGTAAGGTTGTGGTATACACTGAGGTAGGAAAGTAGAACATCATAGAACAGAGAGGAAGTGCTGTAGTAACGGTTGAGGTATACAATTAGGTAGGAAAGTAGGTAAGGTTGTGGTATACACTGAGGTAGGAAAGTAGAACATCATAGAACAGAGGTACTAGGGTAGGTAAGGTTGTGGTATATACTGAGGTAGGAAAGTAGAACATCATAGAACAGAGGTACTAGGGTAGGTAAGGTTGGGTATATACTGAGGTAGGAAAGTAGAACATCATAGAACAGAGGTACTAGGGTAGGTAAGGTTGGGTATATACTGAGGCAGGAAAGTAGAACATCATAGAACAGAGGTACTAGGGTAGGTAAGGTTGGGTATATACTGAGGTAGGAAAGTAGAACATCATAGAACAGAGGTACTATGGTAGGTAAGGTTGGGTATATACTGAGGTAGGAAAGTAGAACATCATTGAACACTGAGGTAGGAAAGTAGAACATCATAGAACAGAGGTACTAGGGTAGGTAAGGTTGGGTATATACTGAGGTAGGAAAGTAGAACATCATAGAACAGAGGTACTATGGTAGGTAAGGTTGTGGTATATACTGAGGTAGGAAAGTAGAACATCATAGAACAGAGGTACTAGGGTAGGTAAGGTTGGGTATATACTGAGGTAGGAAAGTAGAACATCATAGAACAGAGGTACTAGGGTAGGTAAGGTTAGGTATATACTGAGGTAGGAAAGTAGAACATCATAGAACAGAGGTACTAGGGTAGGTAAGGTTGTGGTATATACTGTAGGGTATCATAGAACACTGAGGTAGTGGATATCATAGAACAGAGGTACTAGGGTAGGTAAGGTTGTGGTATATACTGAGTTAGGAAAGTAGAACATCATAGAACAGAGGTACTATGGTAGGTAAGGTTGTGGTATATACTGAGGTAGGAAAGTAGAACATCATAGAACAGAGGTACTATGGTAGGTAAGGTTGTGGTATATACTGAGTTAGGAAAGTAGAACATCATAGAACAGAGGTACTATGGTAGGTAAGGTTGTGGTATATACTGAGGTAGGAAAGTAGAACATCATAGTATATACTGAGGAGGGTAGAACATCATAGAACAGAGGTACTATGGTAGGTAAGGTTGTGGTATATACTGAGGTAGGAAAGTAGAACATCATAGAACACTGAGGTACTAGGGTAGGTAAGGTTGTGGTATACACTGAGGTAGGAAAGTAGAACATCATAGAACACTGAGGTAGGAAAGTAGAACATCATAGAACAGAGGTACTAGGGTAGGTAAGGTTGTGGTATACACTGAGGTAGGAAAGTAGAACATCATAGAACACTGAGGTACTAGGGTAGGTAAGGTTGTGGTATATACTGAGGTAGGAAAGTAGAACATCATAGAACAGAGGTACTATGGTAGGTAAGGTTGTGGTATATACTGAGGTAGGAAAGTAGAACATCATAGAACAGAGGTACTAGGGTAGGTAAGGTTGTGGTATATACTGAGGTAGGAAAGTAGAACATCATAGAACAGAGGTACTAGGGTAGGTAAGGTTGTGGTATATACTGAGGTAGGAAAGTAGAACATCATAGAACACTGAGGTACTAGGGTAGGTAGGTATATACTGAGGTTGTGGTATATACTGAGGTAGGAAAGTAGGTAGGAAAGTAGAACATCATAGAACAGAGGTACTATGGTAGGTAAGGTTGTGGTATATACTGAGGTAGGAAAGTAGAACATCATAGAACAGAGGTACTATGGTAGGTAAGGTTGTGGTATATACTGAGTTAGGAAAGTAGAACATCATAGAACAGAGGTACTAGGGTAGGTAAGGTTGTGGTATATACTGAGGTAGGAAAGTAGAACATCATAGAACAGAGGTACTAGGGTAGGTAAGGTTGTGGTATACACTGAGGTAGGAAAGTAGAACATCATAGAACAGGAGGTACTAGGTAGGTAAGGTTGTAGGTATATACTGAGGTAGGAAAGTAGAACATCATAGAACAGAGGTACTAGGGTAGGTAAGGTTGTGGTATATACTGAGGTAGGAAAGTAGAACATCATAGAACACTGAGGTACTAGGGTAGGTAAGTTTGGGTATTAAAGGATGGAGGAAAGTTAAAAAAACATGTACCAGAGTAATATGGTTAGGAAGGTTGGGGTATATAGTGAGGTAGGAAAGTAGAACATCATAGAACAGAGGTACTAGGGTAGGTAAGGTTGTGGTATAGAACTGAGGTATATAGGTAGGTAACAGAGGTACTAGGGGTATATACTGAGGTAGGAAAGTAGAACATCATAGAACAGAGGTACTAGGGTAGGTAAGGTTGTGGTATAGACTGAGGTAGGAAAGTAGAACATCATAGAACACTGAGGTAGGAAAGTAGAACATCATAGAACAGAAGTACTAGGGTAGGTAAGGTTGTGGTATACACTGAGGTAGGAAAGTAGAACATCATAGAACACTGAGGTACTAGGGTAGGTAAGGTTGTGGTATATACTGAGGTAGGAAAGTAGAACATCATAGAACAGAGGTACTAGGGTAGGTAAGGTTGGGTATATACTGAGGTAGGAAAGTAGAACATCATAGAACAGAGGTACTAGGGTAGGTAAGATTGTGGTATACACTGAGATAGGAAAGTAGAACATCATAGAACAGAGGTACTAGGGTAGGTAATGTTGTGGTATACAATGAGGTAGGAAAGTAGAACATCATAGAACAGAGGTGCTAGGGTAGGTAAGGTTGTGGTATACACTGAGGTAGGAAAGTAGAACATCATAGAACACTGATGTAGGAAAGTAGAACATCATAGAACAGAGGTACTAGGGTAGGTAAGGTTGTGGTATATACTGAGTTAGGAAAGTAGAACATCATAGAACACTGATGTAGGAAAGTAGAACATCATAGAACAGAGGTACTAGGGTAGGTAAGGTTGTGGTATACACTGAGGTAGGAAAGTAGAACATCATAGAACAGAGGTACTAGGGTAGGTAAGGTTGTGGTATACACTGAGGTAGGAAAGTAGAACATCATAGAACAGAGGTACTATGGTAGGTAAGGTTGGGTATATACTGAGGTAGGAAAGGTTTGTTAATATTTGAAGTTGGTTAAGTTTTGATACACAGAAATATCTAATTTAGTAACATATTATCCAACGACATACTCATATATTGACAGTAAATGTGATGAAACGACTCTCAGAGTTATATATCTGATCACACACATGCAAATTCCATGTAGGCGGTAGGATATTATCAACTTCCGGTCGATGATGTACAATTCTGCTCCTCTAATCATTATCTATGTTATAAACAAGCGGTCATTACTGACTGTAAATGTCACGTGATCATTACTGACTGTAAATGTCACGTGATCATTACTGACTGTTAATGTCAGGTGATCATTACTGACTGTTAATGTCAGGTGATCATTACTGACTGTTAATATCAAGGCCACATTACCTTATATAACAAATAACTGTGTTGTAGTATGTAACTGCATCGCACGGTCACGTACAGAATTGATAGCGTAACAGGGTATAGACACAATGGGTATTCCTAGTGTTGTATGTAACCATGACTCCGGGTCGTACATTGCGTAATCATGGTCAATATTAAAACGCATGATATGCATAACATAACAGGTTTTATCTTTTTTTGTTCATTTGAAATAAAACATAAAGCAAAAAAAATAAATATACTTAGGTTCATGCGAGTAAGTAGATAATATTTCAGCTGATTTTGAATTTAATTCTCTAGTCTGAAATAACATCAAAGATCTGTTTTGGCTCTGTTGATTGGGACCAGTTCTATAGACTGGTTTTGTGTTACTAGGGTTACTGTGGTGTAGTGGTGGTTTTGTAGATTGGATGGTGGTATGTGGGTTTTGTAGGCTGGGTGGTGGTGTGGTGGTGGTTCTGTAGACTGGGTTATGGTGGTGTAGTGGTGGTTTTGTAGATTGGATGGTGGTATGTGGGTTTTGTAGGCTGGGTGGTGGTGTGGTGGTGGTTCTGTAGACTGGGTTATGGTGGTGTTGTGGTGGTTTTGTAGATTGGATGGTGGTATGTGGGTTTTGTAGACTGGGTGGTGGTGTGGTGGTGGTTCTGTAGACTGGGTTATGGTGGTGTAGTGGTGGTTTTGTAGATTGGATGGTGGTATGTGGGTTTTGTAGACTGGGTGGTGGTGTGGTGGTGGTTTTGTAAACTGGGTGGTGTTGTGGTAGTGGTTCTGTAGACAAGATGGTGGTGTGTGGGTTTTGCAGATTGGCTTTTGGTGTAGTTGTGGTTCTGTAGACTGGGTGATGGTTTATTGGTGGTTCTGTATACTGGGTGGTGGTGTAGAAGTTGTTCTGTAGACTGGATGGTGGTATGATGGTTCTGTAGACTGGGTGGTGTGGTAGTGGTAGTTTGTAGACTGGGTGGTGTGGTAGTTGTTCTGTAGACAGGGTAGTGGTATGGTGGTGGTTCTGGAGACTGGGTGGTGGTGTGGTGGTTCTGTAGGCTGGGTGATGGTGTGGTGGTTCTGTAGACTGGGTGGTTGGGTGGTGGTGGTTCTGTAGACTGGGTGATGGTTTGGTGGTTCTGTAGACTGGGTGATGGTGTAGTGGCAGTTCTGTAGACTGAATGATGGTGTAGTGGTGGTTCTGTAGACAGGGTGGTGGTGTGGTGGTTCTGTAGACAGGGTGGTGGTGTGGTGACAGTTCTGTTAACTGGGTGATGGTGTAGTGGTGGTTCTGTAGACTTGGTGGTTGGGTGGTGGTGGTTCTGTAGACTGGGTGATGGTGTGGTGGTTCTGTAGACTGGGTGGTAGTGTGGTGGTTTGTAGATTGGGTGATGGTGTGGTGGTTCTGTAGACAGACTCGGTGATGGTTTGATGGTGGATCCGTAAACTGGGTGATGGTGTAGTGACAGTTCTGTAGACTGGGTGGTGGTGTGGTAGTGCCTCTGTAGACTGGGGATGGTGTGGTGGTTCTGTAGACTGGGTGGTGGTGTGGTAGTGGCTCTGTAGACTGGTGATGGTGTGGTGGTTCTGGAGACTGGGCAGTGGTGTGGTGGTTCTGTAGAATTGGTAATTGTGTGGTAGTGGTTCTGTAGACTGGGTGATGGTGTGGTAGTGGTTCTGTAGACTAGGTGGTGGTGTGGTAGTTCTGTAGACTGGGTGATGGTGTAGTTGTGGTTCTGTAGACAGGGTGGTTTTTCTGTGTGGGTTGTGGAAAGATGATTATCATGTGACAAAAACATTGTCCATTCGTGAAGTTAGCATTCCCTTATGAATACAATTGCACTGGGTGATGGTGTGATGGTTCTGTAAACTGGGTAATGGTGTGGAAGTGGTGTTTCTGTAGACTGGGTGATGGTGTGGTGGTTCTGTAGACTGGGTAATGGTGTGGTAGTGGTTCTGTAGACTGGGTGATGGTGTGGTGGTTCTGTAGACTGGGTGATGGTGTGGTGGTTGTTTAGACTGGGTAATGGTGTGGTAGTTCTGTAGACTGGGTGGTGGTGTTGTGGTTCTGTAGACTGGGTAATGGTGTGGTAGTGGTGTTTCTGTAGACTGGATGATGGTGTGGTGGTTCTGCAGACTGGGTAATGGGGTGGTAGTGGTTCTGTAGACTGGGTGATGGTGTGGTGGTTCTGTAGACTGGGTGATGGTGTGGTGGTTGTGTAGACTGGGTAATGGTTTGGTAGTTCTGTAGACTGGGTGGTGGTGTGGTGGTTCTGTATACTGGGTAATGGTGTGGTAGTGGTTCTGTAGACTGGGTGATGGTGTGGTGGTTCTGTAGACTGGGTGATGGTGTGGTGGTTGTGTAGACTGGGTAATGGTTTGGTAGTTCTGTAGACTGGGTGGTGGTGTGGTGGTTCTGTAGACTGGGTAATGGTGTGGTATTGGTTCTGTAGACTGGGTGATGGTGTGGTGGTTCTGTAGACTGGATGATGATGTGGTGGCTCTGTAGACTGGATGATGGTGTAGTGGTGGTTCTGTAGACTGAGGGATGGTGTGGTGGTTCTGTAGACTGGGTGGTGGTGTGGTGGTTCTGTAGACTGGGTAATGGTGTGGTGGTTCTGTAGACTGGGTAATGGTGTGGTAGTGGTTTTGTAGACTGGGTGATAGTGTGGTGGTTCTGTAGACTGGGTAACGGTGTGGTAGTGGTTCTGTAGACTGGGTGATAGTGTGGTGGTTCTGTAGACTGGGTGATGGTGTGGTGGTTCTGTAGACTGGGTGATGGTGTGGTAGTTCTGTAGACTGGGTGTTGTTGTGGTGATTCTGTAGACTGGGTAATGGTGTGGTATTTGTTCTGTAGACTGGGTGATGGTGTGGTGGTTCTATAGACTGGGTGATAGTGTGGTGGTTGTGTAGACTGGGTGATGTTGTGGTGGTTCTGTAGACTGGGTGTTGTTGTGGTGATTCTGTAGACTGGGTAATGGTGTGGTATTTGTTCTGTAGACTGGGTGATGGTGTGGTGGTTCTGTAGACTGGGTGATGGTGTAGTGGTGGTTCTGTAGACTGGGTGGTGGTGTGGTAGTGGTTCTGTAGACTGGGTGGTGGTGTGGTAGTGGTTCAGTAGACTGTGTGATGGTGTGGTGGTTCTGTAGACTGGGTGATGGTGTGGTAGTGGTTCTGTAGACTAGGTGGTGGTGTGGTGTTTCTGTAGACTGGGTACTGGTGGTGTAGTGGTGTTTCTGTAGACTGGGTGATGGTGTGGTGGTTCTGTAGACTGGGTGATGGTGTGGTAGTGGTTCTGTAGACTAGGTGGTGGTGTGGTAGTTCTGTAGACTGGGTGATGGTGTTGGTGGGTGTTTTTCTGTATCATGTGACAAAAACATTGTCCTATCTGGGTGGCATTCCCTTTGGTGTGGTAGTTCTGTATACACCTGGGAGACTGGGTGATGGTGTGGTAGTGGTTCTATGTAGACTAGGTATACATGGTGTGGGAACATTTCAGTTTTATACTGGGTGATGGTGTCAGTTTTATTGTGGTTCTATATACAGGGTGTTTTTTCTGTGTAGGTTGTGGAAAGATGTTTTATTATCATGTGAGTTTTAAAAACATTCAGTTTTATATATTGGGAAGTTCAGCATTCCCTTACAAATATATATTGCACTGTCATTATATACCTTGGGAACATATATACACTTGGGGTTTTATATACAGTTTTATATACCTGGGAACATGGGAACATATCAGTTTTATATACCTTGGGAACATTTTGGTTCTATATACCTTGGGAACATTTCAGTTCTATATACCTTGGAAACATAGCAGTTATACATATATCGGGAACATTTCAGTTTTATATACCTTGGGAACATTTCAGTTTTATAGACCTTGGGAACATATCAGTTTTATATACCTTGGGAACATATCAGTTTTATATACCTTCGGAACACTACAGTTTTATATACCATGGGAGCATTTCATTTTTATATACCTTGGGAACATATCAGTTCAATATACCTTGGGAACATTTCAGTTTTATATACCTTGGGAACATTTCAGTTTTATATACCTTGGGAACATATCAGTTTTATATACCTTGGGAACACATATCAGAACAACAGTTTTATATACCTTGGGAACATATCAGTTATACATATTTTATATACCTTGGGAACATTTCAGTTTTATATACCTTGGGAACATATCAGTTTTATATACCTTGGGAACATTTCAGTTTTATATACCTTGGGAAACATTGGGAAAATTCAGTTTTATATACCTTGGGAACATATCAGTTTTATATACCTTGGGAACATATCAGTTTTATATACCTTGGGAACATTTCAGTTTTATATACCTTGGGAACATTTCAGTTTTATATACCTTGGGAACATATCAGTTTTATATACCTTGGGAACATTTCAGTTTTATATACCTTGGGAACAGTTTTATATATTGGGAACATTTCAGTTTTATATACCTTGGGAACATTTCAGTTTTATATACCTTGGGAACATTCCAGTTTTATATACCTTGGGAACATTTCAGTTTTATATACCTTGGGAACATATCAGATATACATATATTGGGAACATATCAGTTATTTGGGTCAGTTTTATATACCTTGGGAACATTTCAGTTTTATATATATTGGGAACATTTCAGTTTTATATATATTGGGAACATTTCAGTTTTATATATATTGGGAACATATCAGTTTTATATACCTTGGGAACATATCAGTTTTATATACCTTGGGAACATTTCAGTTTTATATACAGTTTTACATAATTGGGAACATATCAGTTATATTGGGAACATTCAGTTTTATATACCTTGGGAACATTTCAGTTTTATATACCTTGGGAACATTTCAGTTTATATATACATATACCTTGGGTTTTATATACCTTGGGAACATTTCAGTTTTATATACCTTGGGAACATATCAGTTTTATATACCTTGGGAAACAGTTTTATATATGGGAACAGTCAGTTTTATATATACATATCAGTTTTATATATATTGGGAACATTTCAGTTTTATATACCTTGGGAACATATCAGTTTTATATACCTTCGGAACATTTCAGTTTTATATACCATTGGGAATTTCATTTTTATATATTTCAGTTCAATATACCTTGGGAACATTTCAGTTTTATATACCTTCAGGAACATTTCAGTTTTATATACCTTGGGAACATTTCAGTTTTATATATATTGGGAATTTCAGTTTTATACAGTTTTTATATACCTTGGGAACATATCAGCTTTATATACCTTGGGAACATTTCAGTTTTAAAGACCTTGGGAACATATCAGTTTTATATACCTTGGGAACATATCAGTTTTATATACCTTGGGAACATTTCAGTTTTATATACCTTGGGAACATTTCAGTTTTATATACCTTGGGAACATATCAGTTTTATATACCTTGGGAACATTTCAGTTTTATATACCTTGGGAACATTTCAGTTTTATATACCTTGGGAACATTTCAGTTTTATATAGTTCAGTTTTTATATATACCTTGGGAACATATCAGTTATACATATTATACATATATTGGGAACATTTCAGTATATACCTTGTGTTTTATATACCTTGGGAACATATCATTTAGACATATATTTGGAACATATCTGTTTTTTTGTACCTTGGGAACTCTTCTGTTTTATATTCATTGGGAACATATCAGTTTTATATACCTTGGGAACATTTCAGTTTTATATATGGGAACATACATTGGGAACATTTCATTTGATATACCTTGGGAACATTTCAGTTTTATATACCTTGGGAACATATCAGTTTTATATACCTTGGGAACATTTCAGTTTTATATACCTTGGGAACATATCAGTTTTATATACCTTGGGAACATTTCAGTTTTATATATATTGGGAACATTTCAGTTGATATACCTTGGGAACATTTCAGTTTTATATACCTTGGGAACATAGCAGTTATACATATGTTGGGAACATTTCAGTTTTATAGACCTTGGGAAGATATCAGTTTTATATACCTTGGGAACATTTCAGTTTTATATACCTTGGGAACATATCAGTTTTATATATATTGGTAACATATCAGTCATACATAATTGGGAACATATCAGTTTTTGTGTACCTTGGGAACACTTCAGTTTTATATACATTGGGAACATATCAGTTATACATATATTTGGAACATTTCAGTTTTATATACCTTGGGAACATTTCAGTTTTATATACCTTGGGAACATATCGGTTTTATATACCTAGGGAACATATCAGTTTTATATACCTTGGGAACATTTCAGTTTTATATATACTGGGAACATTTCAGTTTGATATACCTTGGGAACATAGCAGTTATACATATATTGGGAACAGTTCAGTTTTATAGACCTTGGGAACATATCAGTTTTATATACCTTGGGAACATTCCAGTTTTATATACCTTGGGAGCATTTCAGTTTTATATACCATGGGAACATTTCAGTTTTATATACCTTGGGAACATTTCAGACCTTGGGAACATATCAGTTTTATATACCTTGGGAACATATCAGTTTTATATACCTTGGGAACATATCAGCTTTATATACCTTGGGAACATTTCAGTTTTAAAGACCTTGGGAACATATCAGTTTACATATATTGGGAACAGATATACCTTGGGAACATATCGGTTTTATATACCTTGGGAACATTCCAGTTTTATATACCTTGGGAACATATCAGTTTTTGTGTACCTTGGGAACATTTCAGTTCAATATACCTTGGGAACATATCAGCTTTATATACCTTGGGA